TTCATTCTGGATGTACATTTGCAGTATATTTCCCATTTTCGTGGCCTAATTTTTTGACCCAAAGTTTATATGCTTGATGGAATTCTAACCATGTACAGCTAGAATTGTGTTGGACAGGATAAGCGTTTTCGCATTTAATGGAAATTCACAAAATATGCTGGAAGCAAATAAGCATAAATATTCATACCCTTGCGTTGGCCGTATGCATAATATTTATTGCAGCAAAATAGCTGCACGCAAGCACCTCAAAGAAAAAAGGGTTCGCAACGAGAAAATAAATAAATCAGGAAAAAAGTATGTTTACATTTCATTGTGGTTATGCAAACTAGGCGAATGTCGTTTCTCTCCAGATTCTCTGCGTGAAAAGAGAAGAGATTCATTCATTTGCATTAAATTTATTTAATGTTTCGACAACAAAATTGCTACTTTGTTTGAGCCTGCGGAATCTGAGAAAGTTTGGGCAAAAACAAACAACTTGGATACAAGTTATTTATACACCCGATCTCGGACTAAAGATGTTACGCCACATATTTCGGAAATGATATTTCATTCTTTCTCGAATTATTGTATTGCTCTTGACGGAAATTAATTTACCCCCTCGAGGAAATCCTTTCACCAATGATATGAATAATATGGAGTTATAAACAAGTTGTTCGTCTTATACCCTGAATCCACGATTTTGCGTGGTTTTAGATGATGAGCCAAATGGAAACTAACGGCTCTCATTAGTTTGAAAGAAAACTGCGTTGTTCACTCGTTTCCACATCGCAGAACTTACTCGTGCTCGCTCCTAAACTTATCTCCTGAAAAATAATCGTTCATCTATCTGGAAAGTAGTCGAAAGCAATTGTATGAGGTGGTGTTGCGAGAAACTTTCTCCTCTTCTCTCTCCTTCGTGCATTCGGCCCAAAGTTTGTTTCTCAATGTGGAAAGGGATGATTATTTGAAATTAAACTTCCCCATAAAGACGAGTGCGTTTACTTCAAACGCGAAAGATTCAAGATTCGTAGCTTTCACCATTTGGACCATAAAGCATACCAAAAGAACTCTAAAAAATTTCACCCTTGTTGTCTCACTCACCTCGCTTAAGAGAGAGAAAGAGAGAGAGACAGTGGTGGGTACTGTGAGGATGAGGATGATGATGAGGATGTGTGAGTATACTCGTTTTTCGGGTGGTGAGGAGTATGTTCGAGGGAAGACCAGCTCCGGGAAAATGAGGTGAAAGGACATGTGGCTGATGGCGTGGTGTACCCCGTGGTGCGAGGGAAGAGTCCCCAATATTTACACACGCTGAGCACTCACCCACAGCCCAGTTCCCATATTTGGCTCAGACTCATCGCAATCTCTCTCGCACCACGCTTTCTCTCTTGGCCATCAACCAACCGCACGACTGTCACTCTCATCACCAGCCTGCTTAGAAAAGGGTGCTGAGTTTGTACTTCTCTTTGGACCAAGGCGTCCTCATCACTCCTCCAAGACTTTCCTCCCTCGCAGGGATTTATCTGTTTCGAATGGCTCCCTTTGAAATCAATTACCCAGTGCGCCAACTGCTACTCCCCACTTTCTCCTTTTCCCACGGGTTTGAGCTTACGACTCAAATGCCAAGATGAGTTAGAGAGCCTTTTCACCTTCATCGATATACGTACGTGCAGATATATTTCTATAGGCAGAGTCCTTTAATTTAGGTCTCTCGTGACGTGACCAAGTAAATGTGATAAACTGCAAAAGTTTCAGTGTGGCTTGGCTCGAGTTTACTGGAGAACAAGAAGTGGAGTGAAAGTTCAAAGAGGTTTCAATGTGGGATTGCTAAAATATATATGCACATAAATTCCCTCTCAAACCAACAAGTTTGATTTCGAACAGACTCTTTCGTACTTATCTCTGGGATGATGATGAGCAATGGTTGTAGAAATACGAGGCAAATGCCTAATCTCCTCTGTTACTGAACTTGCTTCATTTCTTGGATGTCTAGTGCATATTCGAACAGTGAAATGATATGAAGAGTGAAATGAGGATAAAATCGAGTTACTGCCAGTCCAGTCGTCATCCGCAAATTCGTCGCAATTACCTCGTTATTGCTTTCTTCAAGAGTAGCTCATTTCATGAAATTAGGATGCAAGACTTCCATCTGGATACAGCAGCAGCATCATCGTCATCATGAGCGGGGGTCGTGAGAGCAAAGGGAAACTCAGCGGAAGAGCATATTCCTTGGCGAATGCAAAAGATTTTGCGAAAGAGGTAGGTACGAGACTACGCAGCACGTGCGGGGGCTGATGCCAAGCATTAACTGCCATATTGTTATTGTTCAAATTATTTCTTTTTCTGGACACTTTGTGAGTAAGTTAAGTATGGTGGTGATCAAATTTCTAGAATTTTGGTTTCGTGGCTCAAAATTACCTCCAATTTTGTTGGATACAGCATATGTACAGATATATTCGTGGGCAGCATATGGTTTTGATCTGAATTTTAGCGTCCCCTTTTACGACTCACTATTTTTCGATACAATCGCTAGAGTGCAAAATAAAGAATGTTGTTTAGAGAAGGATGATGATTCTCCAAGCAAGATGAATTTTGCGAGGATCATGTGGAGCGTTGGGAACGCGAGGAGAGATTGTTTATTTGCTTTCCCCAAGACAAACATAGACGTTAGCGTTGTGGTTCAGATTGGATTTTTTGATTTCGCCTTGGATCAGTTCTCGTATTTGCGCATGGAGAACTTTGCTTCCGTTGCGGAGATTAGGTTTTTGGTTTTAGACTCGGAATGCAGGAAAAAAAGAGGAAATGTGAAAAAAATCTGCTCTTCCTCTGACTCCATTCATAAAATAAATAAAATATTCATAGTTTTTTAACTTCTTCTCATCCGGAGTTTAAGGATGACGGTCCTGATGGTTGGTGATAAAGCAAAATAGGCAAGGAAGCTTTAAAAACCTTGCAATCTGTTCTCAATTTCCCTACAAGACTGTCAGATTATGTTTTCCAATACGTTTCAAAGCTCTTCAACGTCACGCAATTTAGTTTTTGAAAATTGGGCGCAGAGTAAGTACATATTCACGTAGGAGAAAAACAGTAGCAGAGCCAGCCAAGTGCAGCAAAAACCATGAATAGCGGAGGTAAGGACTCTGCAGGTAGAGAACGGAAATGGTAATAAATCTGCTTAAACCAGGGACTGAGTTTGTTCGTGTCCACATTGCTGCTTCCAATTTCTGGAGAAACAAAGGGACCAGAACGTCAGAATAAAGGAGAAGGAAGTGGATTGTGTTCGTCGACGGCAAGTCAATATTAAGCCAACATTTAAATTCTAAATTGGACGACTTGTTATTACCTTTGAAAGGCGTCAGTCTTGCTTTTCCACGAGGGTTCAGCTCTCTTCTAGAAACGAACGTAATGAGGAAAGTGGGGAGCATCAAGACACGACGGAGAAAGTTTCTCGTCACCCATGCATGCTTGCTTTCAGTGGCAATTATGCCCAGAGTTGCGCCCTCACAAACATAGAGTGAGGAGAAGATTGATCTTGTGGTGGTGTCTGGTTGAGGCATATACGAAGAAGATAACTGAGTTAGTCGTCACTGGAAAGATAGTGTCTGTGAATAAGGATGAGGAAGATTGGAAGTTAGTGGAGAGACAGGAGACTAATCGAATAATGAGAGGTAGATGAGAGGGAGAGCCGACGTGGGATAAAGAGGTTAGTTACTCGCTCCGACTTTATCGAGTTACATATTTCAGTCAAGAATATTGAAGATTCTAGAAAATCACATCTTTTGGACTAAAACTCCCCGGGTTAGGTTCGTGGCTTGCTGGTTGGGGATTTGCTTTCTTCTTTAGATAAACCTCTCCCCCTTTCAGATCAGTGATACCGTATAATATCCGAGCTGACATTCACTGACTTTCACTTATTCCGCCCTTCAATGATGTGGGCTCAAACCCAGTTCGGCTTAGGCCTTCTTAAAAAATCTGTATCCTCACACAAAAGATGTAATCTAAATCTCTTTTCGACTTCCAAAAAATTATCTTAGAATCAGATTTCGTTCCTTATGGAGAAATAAAACCACATTTTTTTCAACCTCGATTTGGAACAGCGTAATAAGTACACAGCTACATATGAAGAGCTGAAACCTTAATTTGACGTTGTCAAATTGAATATGTATGACACGCTCAAATAAGTAAATAGGTTGAATGGCATAAATAGGCACCAATAAAATTGCACGGTATAGTAGAGTTTTAAACAATCTGTATTTCTACATTTTCGTGGTTTTGCAGTTTTATGCACATCAACTTAATCGTCAGTTATGCTCGGAAATCGGAGGATTGACGATAAAATTTTAGGATTTCCAAGAATGTAATAAAATTTCCAATGTAATTGAGTTCCTCGGAGCATTTGATGCGAGGAAAACGCGTTTTCCCATTTCGGACACATACTTACGTACATTCCTTACGTGTGGTCGTGGACTGTGTCAAACACACACCTTGTACAACTTCTTTGTGAGTCTTTCTCTGGGGGATTGAATTAGATTTAATTAAAAGCGGAGAAAATCATTTCCATTTCATGTCGTACAAAATCTACTCCATCATCCCACAATTTCTGTGTATTTCCCAATTTCTGACCCTTTTGACGGCATGTTTGAAATGTTATGTTGCGTCAGAATTCCTGGCTTTGCTTATTTTGACGGAGGCTTCATTAAGTCGGGTGGATTACTCACTTAAGATCTGTTTGGCCGTGAGCGGAGTAAATATTTAATTAAATATGAGTTTAGGCGGACATCATCTTGCAAAAGAACCTCAACCAGAGTATTAATTAAACTGAGTGTGTGTGTACATGTTGCTCAAGGGAAAGGGATCAATCACTAAACTATTTATATGTATCATGGTTTGGACAAGATGGACGAGATGAGGATTATAATGGCTGATGTGGATTTTGTTACACACACACAGCAAAATAAACCACAGGCTCAAAGTACCTGCTTATCTACTTGGCTAACCTTGGGCATGTTGTTTTTTTACAGGAATTGGTGGCTGCCACACCCAGTCAAAGAAATTGGAAAGGAATCGCAATTGCCCTTTTGGTCATCTGTGCTGTTCTTGGACTCATAATTTTTTCCATTTACCTCCTCCTCCCACCAGGTAATGATGAAACATTGATAATCGTGATAACACGCTACTACATATTACATACGGCAAACATACTAAATAAGTACATGTGTAAGCTGTATGTACTTTACTGCTTTTTCCACACGAATTTCCGACGTTCCTCTTTAAAATATTGAACGACTAATGTTGGTCTAGTTCAGTCAATAGTTTGCTAATGCGTATTTCAATCATTTATCAGATGAAGGGCCTCGTGTCAAAGGAAGAAAAGTCACCGTGGAGGATGTCACGTCGTCCCATTTTGTCGTGGAGCCGTGGAACGGTACTTGGATATCAGGTTGGTTGCTTTGGTTCTACAGACTGCCTCACATCCTCCCCACTTTTCACGTCAATGTCAATCTTCATATGTCCCCATACATTAAATCTCTGCGGAATTGCTGCTATTTCCTTTTCCTAATGCAATACAAGCAAACCCACCAAACGAAATAAACAAATAAATGGTTTCCTATTTGCAGAGACAGAGCTGTTGGTGAGGTAAGATCGACCATCTAAATATACTTTGGAAAGATCTACATTTACCTACACATTGTAAAATCGCGTGGTGGTGGCAGTCGGATAAATCTAGCTCCATAAGATATCCCCGTCTTCAACATTCCAAAGTTTTTAGGCAACTGTCAACGTCACGCGATTTTAGAATACATCTGTATTAAGTATGTAGTTTAAGTTGGTAAACATTCAATCTCGCAGAAGTATCCAGTAGCCTAAATAAATATATCTCTTACGAAAATAGATTGAAACAGGTATTGCTAACAAATTCCATGTGATACGTACTATTTATATATTGTCGCTCAATATATAAATAGTTTAGTTTTGGATCGTTCCAAATTTGACAAAATAAATGTATAAATGCGTCTTCTTCTTACGCACATCAAGAAAATATGAAATGTGATCACACTCTGCTGTTGATTATGTAGTACATAGTAACGTCATGCTTAAGAATTGATTCTAATGAGTAAAAAAATTTTAGAGACTATTTGGGCGGACTCTCGCTGCTCAATGTGGAAACCCTGAATCTACGCCCTTTCATTGCCAATACCACTTTTGTAAGTGAGCCTTATTTCTCATACAACACTTATTTTATTTATTGGACACATGTGTATTTGCTGGGTGGTGAAAGTAACATGAATCTGGTGCGGATAGATAGATACATGAATAAATTCCTTTCCTGTACGTGAAAGAAAGCTGCATCGTACATATGTATCGGTATTTATAGCATCATCGTATTTACAATATCGGAATTTTATGGACAGGTCATAGAAATCCTTCACAAGTTGTTTTTAGTCTTTTTAGGTTTATTTTTAAGTGCCCGTGTTATGACGCAGCGGATGTAGTCCAGCCAATCCTCTGAGCAAGGTTGCCATTGCCACCATGATTATATTTTCCCATCCTCAGAGGGACGCTATACGTACTTAACCTTAAAAGCTAAATTTACTACGCATGAAGACTTGTTGTTGGTGCACTTGCTGAGAGTATTTCTTTTAAGGCCGTTGGGAGCACCGGTAATTTGCCCATGTATGCATTACATAAATGGATGAAATTAAGAATCGGCAGCAGTTCTGCCTAATTTGTTTTCGAAATATCCCCGAAAAGAAAGCTAGGCCGAGTTGGCAGGTGTTACTCGCTTAGATTGTGAATAATGCAGCACTTCGCATCTTATTTGCTATGCCATCCAGGCACGCATGGAGTGCACTTTCCACTTACTCTCAGACTGGATCACAAAGTGTAGTGAAAGCAGCAGCACTTTCTCAAAATTGCCTCGCAGTAGTTATGGAACAGCACTTCACGCCCTAGGCTTTCAATTCCGCAGTTCTTGAGACGTTGTGTCCAGATTTCTCTGTCTTGTCTGAAGGTTCTTACATTGATTCCGTTGCGTCATGCGTCACTCTGGAACCTAGGAGTCAGTTGTAGGAGATTTTATGCATAATAGATTGCCTCAGCAGATAAAAAATGCGCTGTCCTTTGTATATTTGCACATGTACATAAACACAAGTTTAAATCCTAATTGAATTTTGTCAATTGTGTTTTGTTTTTCCAGCGGCGACTTGATGCCCGAAAATTCTTCGTTTCTCCGGATAGAAAATTCATACTATTTGCCCACGAGGATCAGGTATAAATAAACTCGTTGTGTGCAGTGGGACGAATTCGAATTTGAACCTGAATTATTTGTTTGTTGCAGCCCATTTGGCAAAATTCATTCCGCGCTAAATATACAGTTTATGATATTGACAATGAGTAAGTGCACTGCAGAAAATTTATGGCATATGGGATGATCCGTACATATTAGAGCAAATTGCAAAGAGAATCGCAATGAGCCGTGTGATTTATCTCTATCGACAGATTCCAAATCGTTGTGACTCCATTCGCGGAAGTGAGTCCTGACCAAGATCAGCCATGGATTCAATATTGTACTTGGGTTCCGGGAACAACCTCATTAATATTTGTCCATGAGAATGACATTTATTATAAACCGGTAGATATGGCATACTTTTACATTGGATACCTTATATCCCCGTCTATATTCTAGTGAATATATTCTGTAACATATAAATGTATAGGACCCCCGAAGCTCACGCACGTCCCGGATAACGACAACAGGCCAAGAGGGAGTTATATACCACGGGATCCCAGATTGGTTATATGAAGGTAAGCACATAGCCAGCGCTCTTTGTTGTGCACGGAACAATGGGCATCTATCCGTTCGTACGTACATATCGGGATGATTCAGTGGAGAGATCTAGGTTGTTATTAGAAATGGTCCACTGCTATCAGATCAAAAGTGACAGTAATGATTTCTCTCTGTCTCCTTTCTCCGCAATCCTTTCATCATTTTCCTCTCCTTAGCAGAAGCAGTTTTTATTGAGCACTGCTGCAGTGTCACTGTCCGAAAGTTTTTGTTCCACACTCACTCATTTTGATATTAATTTCGCCAGAGTGCTAGCGACATACATTCTCTGCACGTACCGTGTAATAAATATCGAGTATGCACCACTCCGATGGTGCATAACGTCGTGGAATAAAGATAGCAAAAAGAGACGCAAAGTAATGAACTGGTTAGAATCAATGGGGTGGAATAAGAAATTGTGACTTTATTTGATGATATCGTTGGTTTTTATTGCCGTTTTTTAGCTGAGATTCTCAAATCCAATGCGGCCATATGGATGTCCGGCGGCCAGTATTTCATCTACGCCTCGTTTAATGATTCTAAAGTTGGAGTTCAGGTAACTTTTATTAAATGTTCAAATACTAAAAGTTAGTTTATTTTTCAAAATTTTAGTAAAATGAGTTAAAATTATTCTTTTATCCAGTCATACCACTGGTATGGAGACAATCTCTCCTATCCCAAACTCAGAACTCTTCGCTATCCCAAGGTATGTAAACGGAGGACAAACAGCGACAATTTGCTCGAATAAATATATGCTTAGCGTTTACCGTTTGTACTTCATTTAGGCTGGGACGACAAATCCAAGCGTAACTTTATCGGCCGTAAACTTACGGTCCAATATACTAAATTCCATTCCATTAAAGCCGCCCGACCAGGTTGATATCAGGTAACCTATTAGTTGGGCAAATGGTGCTCAAATCCCAAAGTTACATACATCAATTCTACTTTTTGGGACGCTAGGGATCACTATTTCAGCGCAGTTAAGTGGATCACAAAGGAGCTCGTAGTCGTAGTTTGGATGAATCGGCGACAAAATGTTTCTATTATTTCAACTTGTCAAAGCCCACGATTCCAGTGTCAAGAGGTGAGTTTGGAATTTCCTTGATGTCTCTCATCCCACTGAACGTGAAAAAGGTTTGCTATCTCATCATTGAAAATGCTTTTTTTTGCAGATTTACACAGTGAAAAACCCTGGGACCGGATGGTAAGTTTTAAGTTTTATGTTTGATGGTGACACTTTGATTTATTATTTGCATTAGTAGATTAAGATCATACTTCAAATATGCAATTCATTCTAATGATTTAAATTCTAATAAATTCATCATTTTCAAACTTGTGGATTTATTTTTAAAAACAACGGCAAAGTTTTGCCCTCAAAGTTATTTGGAACTAATTTATCTAAAGATAGACAGAACTCATCACGAGGAATGAATTAAATTGCACAATTAATATTTAGTAATATTAAAATGCGAAGATCTGATATTTTAACCACATTTTTTGTCTTCATTTTAAAACAATGCATGTTTTTTTTATCAGGCTGGACTTTATCGACCCACCTTTGTTTTCTCAAGACAGTAAAACCTGCCTTTTACGCATTCCCTGGCGTGATGGTGAGTAATGGATAAAAATCTATAATCAGAACAGTAAATAAAATAGTACTTTAAATTTAATCTTGAAGGGGAAGCAGGGTATTTTCGCCATGTCGTTTGGCTAGATATTAGCAGCCGAAAAGAAATCCCAATCACTCGGGGGCCATTTGAAGTCACAGAGATTGTTGCTTGGGACCAAGCCAGCCAATACATGTAAGCGCACATCCCGATCGAACCACACACATCCGTACCTATCTCTCCTCCATCCTCCATTGCACTTTATGCTGGCACCGTCCTGAATTTAACGGGGGAAAAAGGAATCCAATAAATATTGGACAACGACAAGAGATTTTCACACAAAGCCAACCTCATCCCAGTTTCAAAGAATGTTTCAAAACTCATCCAAAAGCCCAATCCTATTCTGCCTGTCTAACTACCATTATTGCTTTTCCTTTCATCCTTCTCCCGAGTTGGAACTGTCAACAGTGTCAACTTTTCGTTGAATCCTTCACGAACAAACATTGTGTCTCTGATAATAACACGATAACCAAGTCGTTTATATGCACATGATAAGTTATTGATTTTTTCCTACAGATATTTTATAGCCGCTCCACAAGGCGCCCCTGGCCAGCGCCACTTGTACAGAGCATCAGAAAAATCTTCGAATTCCACAGTGATATCCGCTCCCTTGTGCATGAGCTGCATTGCGAACTCTTCCGTGTCCAAAGTTGTCAAAAAATACCAAACAGGGCCACAGTTCTTGAGAGACGAGTTGGTGGAACTGGTCACGTCGAATGGGTCGCAAGAGACCAGTCGTTCACCCTCCCCTCCTCCCTCGGGGGCAGAAGAGGGCTCGATGCAAACCATGCTGGTGACCGTGAATGTGACGAGTGCATCTCCCAATGCTTCCAGCGTAACGATTTCCAAACGAATGCTATTGAGACTTTCTCCGTGTTTGTACAACAAAGTGACGTTTAGTTCAGATAATAGATTTTTTGTGCGAGAGTGTCTGGGTCCTGGTGTTCCCTTCGTGACTTTACATACAGCCCCGTTGGGCCGTTTATTGTACGTTCTTGACAACAATACGGCGTTAAAGCAAGAAGTGGCAGATTTAGGACTTCCGGTCATACGAACTTTCTCTGTGGAAGTTAGCGATGGCTATAAAGCTCCAGGTGAGTTATAGGCTTAGGTCTCATTTAAACTATATAAATACCCCTAAACCATCAATGTCTCATACTAATCCAAGATCAGTACGTTTCTTGATTTCGTACGCGTGTCATGAGATTGTGACGAGTGTGGGACCGAACCACGTTACATAAATTCACAAACTTTCTCAAGTGTAGTAAATATTTCCTACTTATTTGATGGCTTTATGTAGATAACGATCTCCTTTTTGTATACGCATCTTAAAATTAGTTCATGATTTGAAATTTTAGCTCTTGGTCATTGATGAATTTCTTTTTTTTGCGTTCCAGTCAAACTTTATCTACCACCAGGTCTTCGAGAAGAAGAAGAGTTCAAATTTCCTTTAGTGCTTCATGTGTAAGTGTTCCTTTGTAAAATACTTATCTCGAGTTTTTAGTGATTACTATTTGTTGAAGGAATGGAGAACCCGGATCTCAACTAGTCTCTGAGAAGTGGAGCCTATCATGGAATGCCTTCCTGGTCAGGTGAGGAGCTGATGATACCAATGTCTTAATCGGAGAAGATATTTGTTTTTGAGACATAACTCATATTTTGAAATTGCAGCCAAAAGAATTATATTCTCGTTGAGATTGATGGGCGTGGAACTGGATTCCAAGGAGAAAGCAATCGTCACGCAGTTTACAGAAAGTTGGGAACTTTGGAAGTCACTGATCAAATCGAGGCAGTCATGTATGTCATAATTTTTCAGTAAACATAGAAAATCTTGCTAGTTGTAGAGAACGTGTGCATCAATAATAAATACGTAAATATATCAAATGAAACCAAAGAAAACTGATTTCCTCTCTACAACATTCTTGGATGATAAACCTCTTTTTTCAGGGATCTTGTGAAGAGACTTCCATTTATTGACAAGGACAACATGGCCGTGTGGGGGTGGGGATATGGAGGATACGTGACCACTGCCATTCTAGCATTGGACGGGAAGGACAAGGACAAACAACTTTTCAGGTGTGGAATTGCCGTTGCTCCAATCACAAAATGGGAATTCCACGGTGAGTTTCTAGAGTGAACTGCATACTTCGCTGATATAAATTTATTGAGACATTTGTTCACTGGTTTATTGATTTTGCAGCCTCCACATTCACGGAACGATACATGGGGTAATTGTGAATTTATTTCCTCCTTTCTTACAAAGTCTTGACAGTGAAAGTAAAAATTAATCATCTAGGCTCCCAAACTTTACGGACAATTATCGAGGCTATGAAGATGCCGACTTGACACGATATGTCAAAGAACTCCAAGACAAAAATTTGTTTATCATTCATGGAACTGCTGACATTCGAAATCACTACCAACACACGCTTCATCTCACAAAAGCTCTCGTAACGCATGGAACCTCGTTCATGGAGCAGGTAAGATAGTGAAATTATGTCATAAACCTCGCGCAGCTAGAGCTACATATTTGCATGTAAATACACATTTGTGCTTTGTACTCTAGATTTACCCAGATGAGGGGCACCTATTTAAAGGCGTGCTTTCCCACTTGTACATGACACTAGAAAACTTTTTGGACAGCAATTTCGACTCTATGGATTGGGAAGACTATGAAAAAGCAAACTTTCTTGGGATTCAGATGTAAAACTTGTTTATCAGAATATTGAATGGAATGAGCGTGATAAAAAGAGTTGCCCTGTGTGTGACCTTTTGTAGTGATGAGATGGCTATTTTACTGCAAAGTTCATGACCTGCCCCTCGAGTGGCTGCGGTGACAAATTAACCTTCTAACTATTCAAAAGCGACTGGCAGTAGTGTGTAAAGAGTGATCGTGTGATGTACCTACAACGTATTGTTGGATAATTTTATTGAAATTTTGAAAATTGTGTTTGTTGAACTGTATCGTCATTTATGCATCCTTTTCCCAAGTACAAAAGCACGTAATATGTACAAAGGTACTTAGGAAGCCATAGCAAGCAGTCAACTTTCACCAGTTTCACAGCGATGATGAAGACCGAGTTATTATCAACCTACATTTTCGTACGATGGTCGATTTTGAGTGTACTAATTTATCAACCTGAATCTGGACGTCTATTTGGACACCACTTTCATTAAAGCGTGTAGCACTATCAAATGTATATGAATTTGAGTGAAGTTGTACTAGTTATGTAGTTCTAAATTAGTGTGTGTTCTAGTTTGACAATTTTTACATACTCACTTCTTAATAATCTTGGATATTGTCGTTTTTTATCAATCTTAAATTAATTCATTCCTTCCGTTGATATTTTGCAACTAAATAAGCGCTTCCCAATGATATCTGTTTGGCATGATTTTTAAGGAGCACTTACTGCTAACTGCACTGATTATTTATTTATGTGAGACTATTTTTGTGACACCACATTTTTTGTTGTTTTTATTCTAGAAGCAAAAAGAGATTATTTTCTTGAAGCAGAAGTTGGAAATTTCATCTGTTGAACTATGTCCATGTGTCACAGCTACATGTCCTTCGTTCATTGTTTGCAAACTGTGAGCCGAGTTTTTAAGCTGCTAAATACAATTTGCTGCTAGCTTTATTCATTCCACGTACAGAAGCTTATATGTTTCATGTCATGTCCATCTATCTAATTGTAAATTTTGTAAATGTTTTTATTAATTGAAAATGTGTAATTCTAAGCTGCACAGTACATGTATTATATGAATTATATTACTACAAATTTAAATTAAATAATTATGTGCTCTAATTGTTAAGACGAAAGTGTGCTATGTTCACAAGGTTATCTCCTCTCAACGACCGGACGAGATTTACAAGATTGTTGTGATAAAGCTTAGTTGATAAAGAGAATCGGTATCCTTGTAATCTGTGCTTGCCATTCTAATGCGTAAACTAGAATGAAGAATGGCGACAACAAACAACCTCAGTCGGTTAGACACACGCATTACTATTTGTGAGTAGAAATTGGATATATTTATGAGTAAGTATGTGTATATGTTGGGTGGGATGGCGCTATAAAAAATGCGATAAATTGCGTTGCGAACAATGCGTGATACATATGTATTTAGAAATATCTTGTTAAATTCGACATATGTAAAACATGTTTTGAATTTGTTCTGAAAAATAATTTGTAAAGCTTGTCGGAAATATTGTGGTGATCAACCAACCAATCTTGTTATTTTTTAACTGGTAATGCGTCATGTATTATATATGCGAGATGAGAGCAGATTTCCTTTAACTGAAAACAACTATGATCTCACGAGTTAATTGAAATGTTTTATTTTAGCCAATATTATAGGTACTGAATGTGATTCAAACAGAGCTGAAATTTAGATAAAGTCGACAAGAGAGTGAATAGCGGACGTTAATAACCACTAAAGACGACGACGAGGAGGAGGTTACGAAAAATTACTCATTCGCAGTCATTCTAAATACATTAGTGTATTCTTTTAGGTTGATAAAATACATATTTAATGAAACGCTAAGGTATCTTTAACGTTAGAATCTCGTCGCTTAACTCTGGTCAAAGTTTAAAATGTTATCTTCCTATAAATACTTTTAAATTAAGACACTATAATTTACTATATCATCAAATTACATACATATGTATTTAATATACGTAAACCGGTATTGCTTTCTGACTGAAATTGGAAATAAAATGAACGAGTAAAAACAAACATTGTGTTAAGAACTATTTCAAGGATTCATGTACATATCAGCATTGTCGGACGACTTCTACAGCTTTTTTGGCATTCTGAGGTTCTCAGGTCAGTCAAGGGAAGCATGTCAACACTGGAATAAGGGACTACTCATTAGTATGCGGAACACAGCAGGGATAGAAGATCGCACAGAAGAACAACTGCACTTACCTTGCAAATTGCAAAGTAAAAGCTCTCTAGACGAGGTCACAACAACACGAATATCATCCACCAGACAACACAGACAACGTTCACAATTTTGTGTGTATGTAGATACAAATAACAGTAATAGCACATCACGGACAGTTCAAACAACGGTGGTGGTTTTGCATAGCACTGCGTATTATTGGTTGACTAGAGTCATTTCAACAATTTCGGAATTACCATAAATCACATACATTGAAGAGCATATAGGTTCAACTCCTAAAATAGTGTTGTTAAATATCAGGGCACAAATATGGAAGAAATTCCAGAAAGCTAACGTTCTTATGAGATAGGAATTCGGTTGCAACGAGTCATATTTCACCAAAAGGTTGCTCTCATCAGGATTATTTTTCTTATTATTCGTCATATTCATCAAATTTTCCTCCTTTGTTTAATCCAATTCCTGCATTTGGTAGATTCTGCTTCTTGAAACAATCCTCGAAAAAACTTTCCATCGACTTGTGCACATGGTACTTGGCACCATTCAAACTGTGACCTTCATCTGCATACACCTAAAATTGAGCACAACCAACAATACAAGTTGCACAATTAGTACTTTGCTATCGTTTCAAATATATTTCTTGAAGGCTTGGCAATATTTATTCCTGTAATATTATCAATTTATAAATAAAAGAATAAATGAAGATTCACTGCACCTGTTGCCTGAAAAGAATTTTCTTTTCAATGAGAGCTTTGGCCAAAAGCATGCTGAAAACGAAAGAGAAAGTAGATTTAATAATTCAGTGGTGCAATCCACCCTGCAAATGTTGGCCTGGCTTAAGTGCCCCAAAAAACTTGCCTGTGCTGAATGTGAACATTATCGTCGGCAGTCCCATGGGCAAGGAAAAACATTTTAGACGCCAACGGTTCCACATTCTTGGTCACATCACTATCCGCGTATCCCTTGTAGTTGTCGCTCACGTTGGGCTTTCCCATGTACCTCTCGGTGTAGGCAGAATCTAGAAAATTTCAAATAATAAGTATTCATTTCCAGATAATCTATACAAAATGCATTCCTTATGAAATGAGAAAGTGGAAGTGCCTACCATATAACTTCCAATTGGAAACGGGGGCAATTGAAGCTCCGCACTGTTGAAGATCAATAATTTATCCGATTACATTAATAATTGTCATTATCGATATTTTCAAATTAGCTGTCAACATTGGAAGCATTTTTATTTACGTTAGCGTTGAATTATTTTTCAAATGTTATCTTATGAAATTCGTCACCTGGAACAAATCATTGGACTCTTTACTGGTCATGATCATGGCAGTGAGATAAGCCCCATAGCTCCACCCCCAGATGCCAACTCTCTTCTGGTCCACAAAATGTAAGGAGTCTCGCAGATGTCTGCAAAAAATACAGACTCAGATCTATGAAACTAGACAGGTTTTAGATGATCTAGCCATCAGTTAGACCGAGATGATTTTCACAGCATCTTTTGGCAGCCTCATCCTCCACTTTCTCCTACAACGCGTAGATGGAGAAAGCAGAGAAAGTCGTGGGGATGACTGTTTTAAAAATGCCTACGTACATTCCAACAGCCAATGATGTTGTATCTCTGTCTTACTGAATGACTTGCCGTAATTGTATGGCATTCTAGGCCTCGATACACATAAGTAACTTATGATTACCTTATGACTTCAATTTGATCAGTCACTTCGAGCTCTCCCAGTCTACATTGCATTTTGCATTATTATTATATCAGATATATTACATTGTATCAATAATATTGTACTAACCTATAATAAACTTGATGTTGGAAGTCCCAACCTAGAAGTTAAAGGGATAAAAGAAAGTTAGTTTCGACTTGTGAGTCTGCTGTTGTATCGTTTGTAAATGTGCGAATTTAGAATGTTGCACAGTGACCAAGTTATGTTGTACATATAAATAATGATTCAATAATTACCTCGACCACCACTGCCACGACTATCAACTTGTGCCACAATATAGTTCTTTTTACTAGCCAGATAAGTTGCAAAGTCAATATTCCATCGTTCAATGGCTAATTGTGTGCCAGGACCTCCATACCTAAACAATTTTTAAGACCAGTTCAGTAATTTCAGTAAATCATATTGAAAAAAACCTAATTGGTCCAACATTTTGACTTACACGTTCAGCACTAGCGGATATTTCGTTATTTCCTCCTCTCTTAGTCCTGAAAGTGAAAGTAAAAATCAATCATCTAGTCACATAAACTTTAGTACTTTGTATCTGTTCGAGACAGACGTAGGTACATAGCCGAAAAACTTTACCTGGGGGTAATAATAGTTTGACTTGAACAGTATGCCCAGCCATTAAGTGCACCGAAAACACTCCTAAAGATCAACACATTCGAAGATCATGTTAAATTGTTATTATTCAACAACCAGTTATAAATGAGATTTCCTGCATGAAAGTTCTAAAGATATGCAACTCGTTCAATAGTAATAACAAATTTGCTACACTATGTATTAATACAATACTTCATATTTACATACTCTGTTTTGGACCGTGGTACAATACAAAATAAATTATATTCTTAAAACGTACGGCTTTGCGGATAGGCAACAGTATTGCTGCGCTGAATGAGGGCCTCGTTACTTTGAAGGATCTGTTGTGGAAAACGTGAAAGTAATTTAGCGATTGGATGTTAGAAAACACTTCAAGTCCCTGCCTTCAGGCATCAGCCTTAGGTAATCAGAATTCAGAATCGTGCACCGACGCTTACCGAGATAAGGCGCAAGTGGGGTCCGATAATTTTTTCAGTTGAAAGAGTTGTAGAGTTTTCATCCCCAAAAGTGGAATACAACGCGACAAACGGAATTTGAGGTCCTGTGGATGTACACACACATGTAGTTGAGGCACGAAAATGGGAGAAATTTGAATATTGAGTAATTGTTTGTCGCATACCTGAACATTCAAGAACCAAGAAGGTTTTATCCACATTGAATTTCATGTTGGTAACAAATGAACAACTGCGGTTGTTGGTCACGACGGTACTGGTGTCACTCCCACCAACTTTCCCCTTCGGGGGAGGTGTAGGCTTGGGACTTATTCGCCCATCCTGTTGCTGTTTCTGACCTGTCTTTTTTGGAGGTGCTGTGACAAATCAAAAATTAGACGTTAGTTCAACAGATAAGCGATGATTGGTGGATCATAATTAGTCATATATGTAATTTCTATTGTTTGTTCTCACGTGCAAGTTCGTCTTTCCCTTTAATAACTTTTGGCGACTTTGTGGTCCTTCCGTTCCTCGCTGGTGTAGAAATGCTACAAAATTTACAAGACAATGTAAATACATATGCAAACAAACTGATTCCATAGTCTATGGCTTAATTAACCAACCTGTCATTCAGTTCCTGGCACAGGAGGCAGGATGGAACGTGTTCCGTATAAGGCTGTTCCATTTTCACTCTGAACAACCTCCTTTGTCCCGGATGAGTAGAGGGTGTCGCAGTGTAATACCTGTCAATATTAATCAAAAAGGTAGTCAAAACACAAACCAAGCACAATGCACTCATTAAGAAATTTTCATCCCGACTTCAATTTCCAACTTTTCCATTCTCTCAGCCAAATCTAGATCACGCAAGAACAAGCCATAAACCGTTTACTCTTACACAAGCTTATTCTCCTCATCCCAGGCGTTAATCTTAACGACATCGAAATTCCCAAAAGTCACAGGATGACTCCGTTGATTCAAAGTGTCAACGAAGATCTGCAAAAAAGAAGTCGTATGTATGCATGAGCGTTGTTTCAGGGAATAAAGTCGTAAATGACAAGATGCCAATAGGCATAAAGTGTCTTACCAAATGATCAAAGAATCCATTTTCACCATCGCGAATGGGTGCGATAGCGATGAAGTTTTTCGAATTGACATTTTTTGTGAAAATTGGGAGTTGCACTGTCTCCACCCATCCGCGCTTCTCGGCAGTGATTCGATACACCTAAAACCACACATGGAGCGTACTGAGTATTTTAAGTTATCATCGCAAAATACACATATCAAATTCAAGTTGCAATACATGTAGTTTCAAGGCCTACAAAATCAAGTTAAACCTGCAACATACACATTTCTTTTCACTTATGTTTAATTTGTTCACCTCTCATATACAGTCACCAAACTGCATCATTTTCTGTCAGGAATGTGGCTGATGACTAACATTATTAGCCATAAGTTTAGTACACCACACAACGCCAAGCATTATGTACACAGTTTGGAGAAAACCCTGGCATATGTCAGAAACAGAAGCAGCAGCTACAAATTTATGCCTCGTCAAAACCTGTGTGCCTCCTGTTGTTGCCATTTGCAAAAAAATTACTCCCCCAAAGTTTCTTTTACTGCCATGGGACTGATCAAATCGGCATTCTGATAAGGGGCTCTTGGTTTCTGGTTCCATTCGATGTGATCATCGATGTGCACCCCACGAAACCAGAGGAATGGAATAACTGCAGGTTTTATGCATATGTGCGAGACTTTCTATAGTAAGTGCTCCAGTTTATGAGCTCTTCTGCTAGTACTTAAGTTGCTGAGTAAGGGAAACGTGCAATTCGAGAGAGGAATCAAAATGGTGATGATTAGTGTCTACGTTCTCTCATTTTCGTCGTCCTTCGGTCATCCGTCGATATGATTTCCCTGCGGAGTATTCCATCCTAAACCTGTTATGGGTAGTTCTGCGCTCCAATTGCTTGTGTAATACATATTTTGCTTGTTAGCCTGTGGTTACAGCACCGAGTTTGGTCATCCCACCCAGTGTCATATTCATTTGACGTTTGGTCGTAAAATCAGTAAATTAAGTTGAGCTTTTGCGCCACCACTAAAGAAAAATGAGAGGGTCTCCCCTGCCAAATTTGGAAAACTTTCGTAGCATGAGCAAGTACTTTGTTGAACCAATGCCAAAGTTACGCCGAGTGATTTCCCATTTGTACAAGATATGTAATAATAAACGGCACGACGGCAAGTCATCTTGCATGATGACGTCCAAGGGAAATTGGTGAAATTGGAGTACTTCAGGGAGCAAGAAAAGTTAGTTTGTGGTGGATTTTACGACAATGCATGTGGCAACATTGAATAAGTTTTGTTATAAATCCAGATTGGCGTTTAATACCCAGGACTGAACGAGTTTATTTGCACATATGTTACTCGTGTCAACTGTTATTGAAGATTGGAAAAGTCAATCCTGCAAAATACCTCACATTCCTCTTATCGCGACTATCACAGGATTGCTGCCGCCCAAAGTAAGTAGAAAATAGGAGTAGTGGTAAGTATTTGTAGTACGACGACCACCACCACCACCATCACGACCACATCAACCTACTCTCCTCCAACGGAGAACTTAATCTATCGACTGGAAAACTTTCTCCAACGGTTTGCCTGACTTGGGTCTTTAAACAAGCAGAAGAAAAAGAAGAGCCCGTCGATAAATCAACTTTCATCCTCGTCTCTCCTCCCGCAACCCTTTCCTTCTCTCGGGCCAAGTTCAATCAATGTGTTTTTGATATCATAAAAGGGAGCCAGCGAGAGAGAGAGATGAAATAGGACCAAAATGCTACGACCTGACTTTAATGTTATTGGATTGAGTGAGTGAGTATGTAGCTCTACAAAAAAAGGTTAAAACTCAAGACCAGAAATATAAATATTTTTACCTCTTCGCATCTTCCACTCTTTGTTGAGCATATGGATATTAGCGACAAATTGTATGCTCTGGATGTCCAAACTATGATCACGTCTGTGCTGCGAATCCATCCTGCTGCTGTTATGTAATGCTCTCTGCAATATCACAAAAGTTTAAGATATTAAAGTTTGTAGATTTCTGCGTCGTCATCTGGTGATAAATTTCTAACGACCCTTCACACACAAATTTCGTTTTTTTTTTGTCTTTTTCATTTATCTAACATAACTACTTAGGTATCTTCGACTGCGTAAGTTCAATTTGAAAATAACGTTCTTTCAGGCGTGCTTAAATCATTAAGAAATTTCAAATGACAGGAATATATTGTACAACAGAAAGCGTGGAATTTTGGCTCATACAACATCCACGATCAGTCGCCAGTCGACTAGTGAGAAATGAGGGTCATGCACGTACACACCCGCATCACCGAAAATAGAGTTGTAGAAGAGACAATTTAACTGGACTGAATAAAAGAGAGCCCTTCATTTGCCCGAGATGTGGAAGCAAGTCAAGTGAGGTGGGCTCGGAGAAAGTCCACTCGTATTACAAATGAACAAGGCGGAGGAGAGAGACAGGAGAAGAAAAAAGTATCAGTGTTGCGTAAATGGGAAGCTGCATTGCAGAAGATTTCCTCTCCTCGTTTTTATGTCATCTCAATTCGGTGGACCAACATAAAATGGAACACACCGTGAAGGAGAAGCCGACAGCCACACTTTCTCATTCTCATTGTGAGGAGGAAGGAAAATTGAGACAAAGGACAGCGCAGTTCAGATGCTGCAATCCTAATCATGTGCTTCGAAAACATCTAAAATGTTGTAAGAGCAGCAGCATGGCGGTCATAAAATGGTCATAAAATGTGGATTTTCTATTTTAATACTAAACTAAAATAGATATCATTTCTACATTTTCATGCATGTTAATCAAATTAATTGGATTAGCAATCCCCCGTGTTTCCTCCAAAATTAATATATATTCCTTGCGTAAACTTAGTCTAATTATTTCTCAGAGAAAAGCATGAACTAAATAATTCATCATGCATACAAAATGTGTTTTTGTTCTTGGGGAGGACTTGTACTTTCACAACAACAACAACATGAACTTACAATTCTGACATCCCGTCAGGAGGAATGATCTCTCTCGTTCTTGTTGGAAACCGAAGGTCCACAATGCTCGCCTTCACGGTAGGATTATTTGTTCCCGGCTGTAATTCACAAAAAAATATCTCTGGATCAGTCTCCTTGTCATTTCCTTATCCTCTCGTGTGTACCCTGCTGCATGTCACAATGAAATTAAGAAAACAGAGTGCACAACGCAACTGCGTCTGCCACATCTGGTTCTATCTGTCTGAATTGAAGTTTTTCTCATTTCGTCATTTGTGATTGACATTGGGACATTGGAAATTGTAGTGCAATCTCATTTTAAGCAATAGTTCCTTGGGGACAGGCTGCACGTCTCGCTTAAACCTTTTTTAGTAGTCTGGGACATTTCAGACAAAACCATGGAGGACACAGATGAAGCATTTAAAAAGTAAACCTTTGGGTATCGCAGTGACTTGATGCGTGGGTAGAGATAGGGCTCATCCACCGTCCCATATTCCAAAATGTGGTGTTCCCTGAAATAAATAGTAAAAACAATCGTGAAAAAAACTTCTATTTCTCATTGCAGATCAACCAGAGAGAAAATTCCTGGCGTTATCTCATTTCGTGACCACAAATAGAGGTCCACTATCGAAAGTCAAAATACACTCACCCAACCAGCGAGTCATTGAATGTCAAATAAAGTAAACTTTGACCATCCGAGGAAAACCAGAGGGCAGAGTTGCTCCCAAAAATCTCTTCTGTGGAATGCAAAATAATTTCGACATCAATTTCAACTGTTACACAAGCACTGCTATGAAATGACCCTGGAGTGAGTGCAATAAAGCAAAAGAAACCAGTGCGTCATAAAGAACGAGATGATGCAACTCTAAAATGCTCAATTCATGAAATGTCTCTGGTGAAAGTGAAAAATGTGCACATGCGAAACGTGGCTGTTATAGTTTGCTGGCATCTTTGCCATGTGCACACATTACTACCAACCAGACATTTTTTTCTCGTGTTAAATTCGCACGATCTGTCTTGTTGAGAAACTGCAGAGTGGTTTGGCAGATGTGGATGGAAACATCATGCTTCTTTGTGGGCTCTCTCTCTCGCAGCTCTTGGTGACGATGAGATTCTATCAACAAAGCCATGCCTATCCTCAGTTTATGCCAAATCCTGCACGGATTACGAGAATTACTTGAACCAACAACATACATCTGAACGAAAAAATCTCTAGCCGAATGCAACACAGTGTACGTAGACTTATTTGTAATGCTGTTTTGGGCAGATCAGTCAAGTGGAAATGGGTTCCACTGCCACCGGGAGAAATCCATCCATCGATTTTTAAACTAATGAGGCTGACGGAAACTCATTATGGATTTCAGGACAGAAAACCAAGGAACACAAAGAAGTAGTGTGGATCTATTTAGTTCAATGGAGTCAACAGAGCGTCATGATTTGAGGTTGAGCTGTGCTGCTTGTTTCGCACAGTTTGCTTTGCTTTCTCACTTGTACAGTCTTTTTTGCAAGGAGCTGGTAAGCATTTTCTCTGTGTAGTGAATTCCACCACTCGTGCCGCAATTCATCGTCCTAATTCAACTCGAAGAAGCGCAGGTAATCAGGTAGAAGGAGGAAATTTGTGAGGAGAAATGACGAAATGATCTTTATGGTGAAAATAACGTTCCATCGAACATAAAAGGAAAAGAAAGTGATGGCTTCTATTACGTTGATCAGCCCAAGTGAGTTGGGCCTATTTGTTATCGTCAACTCTAATAGGCTAATAGTGCGATGCCGAGTCGTCAATCTGCTGCTGGATCCGTGATCAATTGGATGGTACCACAACCACAGGAAAAGGAAACCCATTTTTCCAAATGCAGCATAATGTTAATACGTAACGACAAGCGTAATACGTTCTGATGGCATATTTACGTAGCTGAAAGCTCGATTCGGTTAGGTTAAGTGATGGTAATTATTAATCCAGCTTAAGCTGCTTGATTGAATATTGAGTCAATTTTATACCTTCATACAACCAGTCTGGTATCCCGTTGAAGATCACGCCAGGCTGTCCGCTGTATGTAATTCTATTGCTTTTCTTGTCTTTTGGATTTGCTTTGTAGTAAATGTCTCTGAAAAATTAGCACAAAAATCAGGGTCATGACACCAGGGAAGCCTCCTCATGCCCACTTACCCGTTGTGAACTAAAACTAATCCGTTTCCAGTAGGAGCCCATTTTACTAATTGGAATGTATATTCTTCAGAGGATGGGGAGTGCTCGATGGAAACTTCTTGTGTTTCCCTGAAACATTGAAATTATTCACAAAGTTGAAAGCAGTGCTATCACAGCTCAAGTAGATAACTTTGAGAAAAGCAGTGACAGGAATCCAGTTGCTCTCTCTCGAGAGGAAACTGGAATGACGGTCAGACATCAGCAAGCGAACCAGAACGGACATGAAATGTCTGGCATACTGTCATAATAACAATCCATGCGACAACTATATCTCTGCTGTACGTCAACTGTTGGTCTTTTCCTCCTCCACATTTACTGTTCATTCCGCATGCAGATCATCACTCAGGACAAGGACAGATCTGAAGTTGACATTTGAACATGCTATTTAAATCTATTAGTTGCTGTTCTGGAAACTGAGCCTGCCATTCTCCGCTACTTATCTTATCCGCTACATCTCATCCCAGAGAGGAATAAATTACGATGAAGGCAAAAAACGAAACCACAAGATGGCATGCATTGCAGATTATGGAGAAAATTATTTTTAAATGTTTTTAGATATTAAACTCTGATTACTCATATTGAAAGCACCCATTTATAATGAATAACGTTGAGTTATATGTGTAAATTATTTTTGTCCAGAATGTAGAGATCGCATACAAGATAAAATGTAAAAATACCCCAAATAGTTAGGAGAGGCGATAAAAGTGAAAGTTAGTTATTTCACTAAGCAGACAGCGTCACATAATTACGTGAATAGAAAAGTAAAACTTACCCCGTAGCGATTTCGAAGAGAGTATATTTAGCTATGAACGAAAACCGGTGAGTCTGGAGAAAAAAATCAAAATAATCGTTTATGCATTTCATAGAGCTCCAAAAACGTGTTTACCTTGAGAATATCATGAGTAAATAGAACGAAACGAAGGGGATCCCGAGAAAGGCTGAATGACACCGCATTGAAACGTCTCTGCAAATAAATACTCTGCCAAATTTAGCCCATGGCTCGAATGGATGGAAATTGGATCCAAATACTTACAAAAGTGAAGTTGCTGACGAGAACGCGAATGCTAAGATTTGCATTTTTTATATCCATTAGAGAAATCCCCCCCGATGCGTCACGATATATCCATTCGTCCCCTGGTAAAAAATATGCAAGGCACAATTTGTATTAAATATTATTTTGCAAAGCCGCAACTTTTCTCCCATTGTTGCCTGCCTAACAGGTAGTGATATACGCAGTTCTCTTTGAATCATCCAAGTACTTTCCCTCTGTGATGACGTCAATTTTTTTAAACCGGAGAAAGTACAAAGTGGAAAGTTTTGACCCTGTTTGACAACTTTGCACAAGTTCTACATACATTATCTAACTAATAATTTCTTCGCCAAACTCCAGAACGAAGACGCGACCACAATCAGCTTTTTAATCAGGTATTTAAATTATCTAACGAGAGAGGATTTATTTAGGATACTTATACAAATTCATAATATTTATAACTAAAATGTTCCCCTAAATAAATAAATACTTGCAAAGTGCACGTAAACCCTAAAGCCAGATAAGTTCAAACAACATTCAAAATAAATATTCTCCAACGTCAGCATCTGTATATTTGCAATATATTCCCCACAATATCGGTTTGTGAACCATTCATGAAACGGTGAAATTCACAGTTTCGTGAATGATTCCTCTTGATGTCGGTTCTTGGCGATGTTTTGAACCGAAGTCAAGGAGGAGTTATTCCTATTATCAGTTCTCGAGAGTATTTTCGATAACCTAATAAACGTTGACTTTACATAGCTCCAAAATTGCAAAGTTGAAAGTTATAACCGAATTAGTCTACGTATATATGTAATATCACATTAGTAAGCTTTCTCTACTAAAATTACTGAAAATTTGCATTAAAAAGTGCTGTCGTAGCTTGCCAAATTGGGATGTCAAAGTTCTTGGAAATGATGATAGCTTAAATTTGCATTCTATTTTGGCATCTGTCCACGATTTCCTAATTTGCAGATGATAACGTCGCGTTGAGCAATTTATATATAAAACGTGATCCAAAAAGATCACAGCTTGGTAACTACTGATAAAGATCAATTGTTTTTACTTTCCAATTTTTTATAATTTTATTCATCATCTGCTACATAGATAGCACTAGCAACAATTGACAAAAATTGTAAGAAACTAATAGTTAGCATATGAATTTGCAAGTTTGTTCCTTGTGCATCGTAGATTTTTTTGTGTGGTCATACAAATTTATTTTCGTGATCTTTCATAAATATTTATGTTTGGGGTGTAAGATGACTCATCTATCCAACTGTCATTATTATTATTGTTATTACGAAGATGAAAAAATTTACAAAAGGCACTTTTTTAATTATTCGTCAGGGTGGCAGAATCGAATCTGTCTCACACCTAAGGTTGAGCCGACTGGACCTGCTCGCAAGGTCCAAGTTTTATCGCATATTTAGGTGCGTGCTCGAAGCAAAAAATAGCAAACAACGCCTCGAAGTTGCAAGTGAAAAGTGTCTCAAGTTACCTATCCAAGATCCGTTGAGGTGATAAGGCTGAAATTCATGACTAAATATGTCCTGAAGCTCTAATCGTCTTCCCTTCACACGCGGGCCCTGCAAAATTCATGATTGGTTACAACGTTACATTCATATTGCCAATAACACATTTTGCACGATCGTTGAACCTACCTCTTCCGGAGGAGTGAGCAGATACACAGAGGTCACGATGAGACTGCCTAAAAATTAAGTGAATGATAACAATTTTGGTCATGCCGGTGCACCAGGTACAAATTTCCAATTTTATGAATCAAACAGCAAAACAATTACTTACATACTGATGCTATCACCAATACGGCAATAATGATTCCCTTCCAATTTCTATCCGGTTGACTGGACACCACCAAATCCTAAATATACAACAACCAATAAATTTTAACAGAATATTTTAAATTGTTAAAAACATAATCATGTACATTAAAGGCACTTGTCGTTTATTGAATATAGAATTCAATGCTTTTAACTACTCTTTTGTGTTAATGACTAAAAGGTCTCATATTTGAAGCCATGTGATTACGAGAAAGTACAGCATTTCCTCGTGCTTCTAAAAACCAGTGATAGTACGTGTCACCTCAAATTTATTAGTATTTGGAGTCAACGAATCGTGCCCGCTGGTCTCCCGATCAATCCCGTCTTAGAATTAGAGGACTAAGGACGTGTACCAAAACTGTGTTCAAGTTTGTGGCTAATCGGTTAAACTTTACTGCCATTATCGAAGGACAGACAGACATGATGATTCCGTAAGGCTTGGTTCGGTCCAAACTGACACATTCTGAGACATGAAGTATTGGTCAGGACAGATGTATATAAACTGTTTAGGACACATTAATATGATGAGCACATCTCTCTCAATCCAAGGCGAGACCATTACGGTCTCGCCTTTTTTGGGAGTCACGAAGGGGAAGGAAATGGGATGTGTAAGGACTGGATGATGGTGGTCACACAAAGTCCATCCGTCCATCCTCCATGTTCCCATGTCATGCAACTGTCCCCTTGCTGTAATGTGTGTGGACTTTCTCTGGACTGCATTATCACGAGTAATTCCAAAGTAAATACTTGTAGTCAACGACTTCCCTGTTGCCTCTGCTGCTGTGGAACTCGTGCATTTTGCCAACAGGGCTTAGAATCCAGCTTCGCTTGTGTACCAGGAATAAATATTGCACGAGGAAACTTAATCCTGTTGAACGAGGGAATAAACTGTGCCGGCTATTGTTTTATTTCCTCTCGTTTCGAAAAAAATCAATGAATCCATTCGGGATTTGCTGGCTCTGGTACTTAATTTAATACCTTCTAAAGACTTCTATCGCTTATTCGCTTACGAAAGGATTTGCTAGGGGACTGGCTGGGACATTTTAAAAGCTTTTTAATCTCTGAAATAAAATTTTCTTTAAAAAACACGAGGAATTCGTATTGTTGTACTTATTTTCCGTTTTTCAGCATTTGGTAGAACTCGTGTAACTGTAATTGCTAATTGACACATTACTTATGTAAAATATCTTTGGATTTCAAAAGTACCTGGTCCGCAGCCAAAGCCATTTGAGCAGCAAGAATGGCCTTCGTGGTTGCAGCATCTCTGGTTGGTCCAGTTTTATCGTTAGACGAAGCTTTTTTGCCAGCCTCTTTACCAGTCATTGTTCATATTTACCACTAATTGACACTTTTACATAAATTTCCATTCAACAACCTACACTTAAAAATATAAATATCTCGCCTTCCCATAATCTCACTAGCAGTGGAGCAAACTGAAAATGCACATTCTCTCACTTTTACAAATCAATGTCGTTTTCAGAGTTTCCAAAAACACCAACAATTCGCACATATTAAAAATCATGATTTAAATAATCACGTCCTGTCGCTGTCAGTGGGGAGCAAGTTTGACAGCTCCAACCGAGGAGAACACGCATTTGTACTTAACCCAGTTCTGTTAAATACCTTTACTGTGTGAACCCACTTCAGAGTAAATGAAAAGAACAGCAATTTTTAATGAGATTACTTCATTTGTAATATATGAAGCAAAATGTAATTCACAAATTAAGTTTACAAGCAGACTTTATAGCCAAGAATGATATGCGATTGATTAATTTCATGTGATAAGGCCGGAATAATAAATAATTATGGTCGTAATTATGTATTTTGCAAGGTTGGGTCTTGTCGATCGATCTTAGGACAACTGGAATTGGGCGAATTGGAATATTAATAATAAAATTCAGAGTTTTCTGGAATGTAGAAAGTCCTTCAAGGAAGGAATACTGCTGATCCGAGATGAAAATCTCAACTGATGGGATGATGAGATGGTAGGGCAAAGTTGGACAGATATGCGTCTGTCTGTGCGGTTCTACCTCTCAGGAAAAATGAAGCAGCACGCTGTATTTACATCCAAGTGGTGCGCTTTCACCGTTGCTTTGACTTGTCTCTGGTGCAAAAAAATTGAAAGAAGATGGGAATGAATCGTGTGATTTATTACGGGCTGAGTGAAGAAATGGAAGAATTGGAGGGATGAACCCTGCTCCTCAAGATTCTCATCTCAAGAATGAACTCGCCTAAGACGGATGGGTCTGCTTTTATATGGAGATTTCCCTTCCCGTACTCTCGAGATGGGAATCACTCACATTATTTCACTCCGCGTGCTCCACACTTTTCACTCTTAACTTTACTTGTGCATAGCAATATATTCACAACACACACACACCACACGTGATGCCACAACAGTATTACTTTCTCCCTTCTGAATCACCACAGCCTCTGCACGTCTCTGGTTGACTACACAACGACGAACGATTAAGTAGCACTGCTCGAGAATGGACAGACGCGAGTCTTGAGAATATTTGTGCCTCAATTCTGTCAAACCTTTGCTCAGTGAAGTAGTCGCAGGCATGATGACCAGAAATAGCAGGGCACCAGAATGGAACGAGACTCCCAATTCTAGGTTCTCGACCGCTGCCAGGATTATAAATGAGTGTGTGCGGCCAAACTGTGATCACCTTTATTCACTGCCCGATTTCCCAGTTTTCCCTCTCACACAGCAACAGCAAGCACTTTCTCCCAACTATTCCTCTCCTGCTCACCATTCTTCTTCTGCGGTTTTTGGTTTTGGGTGACAATCGCATGCATTGCTTTTTAGTGCTGCTACTTTCCCCTCATACTTTTATATATTTGTTGCTACGATAATTGAGATTTCTTGTTAGTTGTGCAAACAGAGAAGGCTGTGCTTCCGTTTGCTGTTCATTGTGGAGCAGTGCCTACCCATGTATTAGCCGTGTGGTTCCATGTATTTTGCCACTTCATACTACTTACAACATTAATTATGTACAAAATTTACAAGAATAAAAAGCAGAACTTTTTATTCCCAACGTGAAAAGTCAAAAGTGTAGAGGAGGATAAATTACAAAAGTTTGGAAAGTTTGCTCTAGGAAGTTACTTTTTGCTAGTTGACAAATTATAGGCTTTCTAATTTCTATGTTCTCTCATTCAATTAATCTTAATGGGATCTGACAATGAGCAGGGTTTTGTTTGCACGAAGGAGTCATCAATTTTTGATCACTTTTATATCAAAATCCTGTGATTTATTAGCATAGGCACATTATTGAACATTTCTTTCACTATGTACACGCAGATGTAAGTAGTTTTATGTCGAAGCAAGTTATTCTCATGAACACTTTGGTTTAACTTTGGATGGAGTTTGGGTGTCTCGGACAAAATATGGAAATCTAGCTCAAGACAATCTAGCTCAGTCAGTAAAACTTGTAAACCAATTAATTCTACGGCATTTTAGGATTAAAAGTATCATCATCTAGAAACAGCGATTTAATTCAGAGCGTGACACTAAATTACTTTTGTCCCATTGTACAAAGGTTACACACCTCGAGAATTTTCATTAAGGTTGCCATCATCAGTGAAAATAACTATTGTTTCACAAAATGTCGCCACCACTAGCTTCCCTTGGAAATCGCCAAGTTCCACTCCACCTCCAGAAATCCAACAAAAATAGGAGAATAAGTTTTACTGCCATTTAACCCGAACGACGGACCATCTGTTTAATGCAAGACGTTAAATTGTCACAAGACCGATTCGAGGCTTCTTTGTTCCGTCTTCAAATGACCTGAGCTAATGGACCATGGTTAATGGATTACAGTGATAGCGAATAATAAACCCTTACAAACGAATATAAAAAAGTAGCGTCAGAACGATCGAAATTTCCTTAAAAATGACATCATATCTGACAATTGTATATTTTTGACCCCTGACCTCGTCCTCATGGTCATGAGGTCAAAAATATTAACGTCCTTGAAATCGGGGTCCAATTTCCTTTAAAATGACACCCCATATGACAATTAAGTATCTTTTTGACCTGTGACCTCATCCACAAGGTCATGAGGTCAAAGATATTAACGTCATTGAAATCGCGGTCAAATTTCCTTTAAAATGACCCATATGACAATTAAGTATCTTTTTGACCTGTGACCTCGTCCACAAGGTCATGAGGTCAAAGATATTAACGTCATTGAAATCGCGGTCAAATTTCCTTTAAAATGACACCCCATATGAAAATTAACGTGAATTTAATATTGGACCACACCCCCTGGCGCAGTGGGGAGTGGTCCGATTGACCCCATTTTCGAACTCGACCGAGAACTAAAAATTAGAAGCACAATGGCGAAAACCGCTTCTAATTATATTTAGGCATTCTAAAGATATCCTGCTTACGGACGGACGGACGGACGGACAGACAGACAGACAGACGGACAAAGTGATCACAATAAGTAGCTGACGCTACTTAATTAAAATTTTAAATGGAGAGCCGTTTCAATTTTAACCTATTTATAAAACGAACAAGAACGGTAAATGAAATTAGCCCAGAAAACTGGCTAAACCGCGCAGTATTTTTTTTATTACAAATGGACAAAGACTGCATTAGAGCATGTACATGCACGACTGAAAACATTTACATGAGAACGATTTGAAGAGAGCCGGGAGAAAACTAACATGAAAGTTTTGCAAAAAAGGAAGAGTGTTTTTTTTCTGGTGATGGAGAAGAAGAAAAAAAATAAAGTGGACGAAGAGCAGGATGGAATTTCATTCAAAGGAGCAATTTTTCCAGCAAGTCGACTGTTTTAGAAGAGTAGGCAGCAGGAGGAAAACCATTTGGAGAATGAATTTTCAATGCAAGGAGTGAGTTTTGGTTGGTAAGTTGACGACTTGCACACCAGATGCTTTCTCCCTGCACAGACCTCTCCATCCCCACTTTCTCCCAGTTGACGGCTCTGTCTGACTTTCTCCCGAGAAGCGCTCGGCTCTCGTTGGTCGCACGTACACTGGAGCAACACGAGCAGTAAAATAATGGCTCATTCTT